TCTTGCTGCTACAAGTCTTGCTAACTTCAAATCTTGTTGCCCAATATGGGAAGCACTCTTTCTCCTTGTCCCACAGCTGTTGATAATTTGCAAGAGCATGCTGATTTGCAAGACCGCATGTCAGCTGGAGACCAGAGGGGGCTGACTTTAATGAGTTTTTAAAAAGCCAACGTTTAGGCTGACACTGTAGTTACCATTCATGTTTCTTTAAAAAAAAAGCCTTGAAATTTTAAAGAATTGGGAGTACAAAATTATATCATGTAGTCTCTGGCCTCATTTCTATTCTAAAGACCATAGTATGTGAATACCAATCCTTTTTCTTTTTCCCCAAGTTTTGCATTCCAATCACCAGTTATTAATGCATTTTATTAAATATTTTATCAATTTCAGACTACAGAAGTTGGTAGAAATCCTCAATGACTTTTTCTTCAGTGGTTGTTTAAAGCCCTTAAAATGTTTGGAGGAAGAAAGGGAATTGTAGAGTTCCCGAAGTTCTAAGAATGTTATAAAAAACCTTAGAGAATATTTAAAACTTTATTAAAAATGTAGAGGTTTGTTTCAAAAACTTCGCAAAAGTTTTCTAGAAATAGTCCATTGGCTTAGAAATGACTAAGAGCAATACAAAAACCCCCTCTGTAAATGGGATATTCCCCCCGCCTCCAAAATCAGTATATTAAAGTTAGAAGAAAGGAAGTCTGGTAGCAGACTGGCTGAAGAGATTGGGTGCTAACTATAAGCTTGTTGATTCAGACCACCAGCTTGCTATGTGGGAAAAAGTTGTAGCAATCTATCTGCTTCCATAAAGATTTACAGCTTTGGGAATCCTCTGCAGCAGTTCTACTCTGTCCTGTAGGATTGCTCTGTCCAGAACTGACTGAGCAGCATCTGATAAAGTTAGAAGGAAAAAGAAAATGACTAATGGGAAACTTGAACTAATTTTAAGTTCCTAATTCTTTTAAATAATGTCATTTTTATATAATCCTGGGTAGCTTTGTTGTTGTTTGTTTGTTTGTTTTTTGAGTATTACATCTTGAATGATACTAATTATAGGTAAACAAAAACAGGAAACCTTTTCCTGCAGCATCTATTTTTCTTAAAGATTTAGAGAAAGGAGTATAAGTACTTCTGGTCATAGAAAGATTTTGTCAGGAGGGTGAGAATGGCTGCACGATTTGAAAATTGTAATTAATGTCACTGTATTTTTGCTACTGTTGATGTTTGGTACTGAGTTGATTCTAACTCATAGGAACCCTATAGGAAAAATAGAACTGCCCCAAAGGACTTCCAAGGAAGTAATGTTTAGAGTAGATTGCCATGTCTTTTCTCTTATAGAGCTGCTAGTGGATTTGATTGGCAGCTGAGTATTGAACCACTGCATCAAACAGTAGAAATTATTGGCATATGTTTTGTTTTATATATTTTCAAAAATAATAAACTCTCTCTCTCTCTCTCTCACACACACACACACACACACACACACACACACACACACACATAAATGGTTTTATCATCACCTGCATATTTAAGAGGAGGCAAACCATTCAAAGGTGAAAGAATGGGTGTGGGGACCACAACCACATGCGATAAATTACTGAGAAATTTTGTTACTTTCTCACCTAAATGGAGAGGAAGGTGCTACTTCCTAGAAGAGGTTCTCCTTCTCACTGTTGTCCTCTGCTAGGAGTTGTCCTCCCCATGAGGTGGTTGGAATAACTTCTCTGAGAATTTTCACAGGTCTGTTGTGAAAATTTTATGACTTTAAATTTTTTTATCAAAACCATAAAATGTAGTTCTTTCAAATCAAGTTATCTTCCTGCCACAGTTGTGTTCAATCAGATGTTTATCTGCCAGCAGTAAAGTATACTTTACTTCCATTTACTTTTCATTTGCAGCAAGTTCTTGAGTAACCACAACCAGGGAACTTGCTCTAGAGGAATGTGAACAAAGTAGGATTTAAAAATCTTTATGTTCTTACTTTCCTTTTTTTATGTAAAATGATTATATTTGAGGGGGGACAAAGTCAAAAGGTTATAATCCAATTTGGTAGAGGAGTACATTAAGGACAGCTTCTTAAATGGACTCACAGGCACCTCAGTCTTGAGCTTCACAGCTTTAGGCCAGTATTACAAAGTTCTTAGCTCTGGTTCCAATGGTGTAGCAGTCCCAAAGTCCCATCTTATGTCAAGTGTCTGGCTCTCCTCTGTGGCTGTGATGCCTACTTCTTCTGTGGGCCCTCCTTGTCTATCTGGCATCCTGAAGGATGAGTTGCATTCTCTTTTCTGATAATGAGGCTCCTTAAAGTAAAATAATTGTCAATTCTACTTTTTTTCGGTATGGATTGATGCTCAATATCAAGAAGACAAAGATTCTCACCTCTGGACCAATTGACAGCATCAGGACGTATGGTGAACTGATTGAGATTGTTTACAGCTTTAGTTTGCTTGGCTCCACAGTCAACACTCTTGGCACCAGCAGCCAGAGAATTAAAAGATGTATTGCGATGGGAAAGTCTGCTGATAGGGCCCTCTTCAAAGTACTGAAGAGCAATGGTGTCACTCTTCAGACTAAGGTGCCCCTGATACAGCCCATGGTCTTTGCAGTCACTTGCATCAGAAAGCTGGACAATGACTAGGGAGGATAGAAAGAGAATTGATGCCTTTGAGATGTGGTGCTGGAGAAGAATATTGAGGGTACTATGGACTGCTAAGAAAATGAACAGGTTCAACCTGGAGAGGGATAAACCAGGCTGCTCCTTGGAGGTAAGGATTCTGAAGCTTTGTGTGACATACTTTGGACATTTTGCAAGGAGAGATGAGTCCTTGGAGAAGGACGTCATGCTTGGGAGGGTGGAAGGACAGCGCAGGAGAGGAAGATCCTCTATGAGGTGATTGATTCAATGACTGGGGTAATCCAGGTGGGTGTGTTGGAGACAGTGAGATTGACACAGGATAGAGCAGGGTTTAGGGCTGTTGTACATAGGGTTGCTATGAGTCTCAGGTGACTTGACGGCACATAACAACAACAACTTTTTAATGAGATGTTGTTATTGTTGTTATGTGCCATAGAGTCACCTGCAACCCATAGTGATCCTATGTACATCAGCTCTGAATCCTGCCTTGTCCTGAGCCAGTCTCACTAATTCTGACACACCAACCCCCATCTTCCCAGTCACTGTATCAATCCATCTCATCCAAGATCCTCCTTTCCTGCACTGTCCATGTCCTGGCCATGTGCCCAAAGTATGTGAGACAGACCTTCAAAATCCTAGCCTCCAAGAAGAAACTTGGTTTCACCCTCTCCAAGACAGATCTATTTGTTTTCTTGGCAGTCCCTGGTATAGTCAAGATTCTTCTCCAGTACCACAACTCAAAGGCATTGATTCTTCTTCTGTCATCCTTAGTCATTGTCCAGCTCTCTGGTGCATAGCAAGTAATAGCAAAGACCATGGCCTGGATTAGGTGCACCTTGGTCTCTAGACTGATATCATTGCTTTTCAGAAGTCCCTGACAGATTTTCCCAATCTAATTCATCTTTTGATTTCCTGACTGCTGGTGCTAAAAGTGTTGGCTGTGAAGCTGAGCAAGGTGTAATTGTTAACAACCTCAATCTCTTCTCCATCTATCATGGTGCTGCCAATTGTCCCAGTGGTAAAAATCTTTGTCTTCTTGATGTTGAGCTTTAATCCACATTGAAGATTATAGTCCTTGACCACCTGCAGCAAGTGCGTTAGACCCTATTCAGTTTCAGCAAGCAAGGTTATGTCACCTCCATAATGTAAGTTCTTGATGAGTCTTCGATCAGTTCTGATGCCACATTTTTCCTCATAAAGCCCTACTTCCTGAATGATCTGTTCTGAAGATAGATTGAAAAGATACAGAGACAGGACATATCCCTGACACCTTTCCTGATCTTGAACCATGTAGTGCCATGTAGTGTTTCCCTGCTCTGTTCTGAGGACTGCTTCCTGGCCCAAGTATAGGTTTCGCATGAGCACAATCAAGTGTTCTGAGATTCCCATTTTCCTCAAGGTTAGCCACAATTTGTTGTGATCCACACAGTCAGATGCCTTTACATAGTCAATGAAACACAGATAGACATTCCTCTAGTACTGTCTGTTTTCTGTCAAAACTAGGCAAAGACAGTGGGGAAAATTCAGAACCACCTGGAATTACTCAATATTGTAGTAGATATAAAACTCTTCTTAAGGATCCTAACCCAACAGGAAAGAATTTTTTGTTGTTTTTTAAAATTTCTATTTTATATTGGTGTGCGTACAAAATCCATACACATTGTGCCTCACACTACCTTTCATTCACATAAAGTTTCATAAAATCATAAAGAATGCTTTAAGATCACTGAGGCAGTCTCCATCTTCATTCAAGTGAAGTGATAGGTGATGTATATGCATCACAAAGACGTAATGAGGATTACATGAGATATAAAAAACCAAAACAGTTTCCTAGAAACCCCGGGAGTTACAGAAGATAATATATGCAAAAGTGATGAATATTCACAAGCTATTATATAAATGTAATATGATTTAAATATTCATCCTTGAGAAAGCTTAATCATCCAGAATCCCTGTCCAATGTAGAAAAGGATGAGTTTGTTTTGAAAAATCACAGAACTGTTAAATAAATGACAAGTCTAAAGAAGTCCTGCTGATTGATGTGTTAACATGTTAGGCTGCTAACCAAAAAGCCAACTGTTTAATTCCTCCAGCCACTTCATGGTAGAAAGATGGGCAGTCTGCTGCCATAATGGTTTACAGCCCTGAAATCTTGATGGAGTGTTGCCTTGAGTCAAAACTGACTTCATGACAGTGTACTGGGTTTTAAGCCAATTAAATAAAGGATGACAGAAGGAAAAGTAACATCATCATTCTAAATCATGGAGAAAAATTTCACTCCCTGTTACAGCATATGTAAATGAAGTTGAAAGTTTCATTATCAATGTCTTTTTCAGTTTAAATATACTGAATGCCCCCCTCCTTGATTTAGGAACTGTGGACACTCCATCTCTGCAAGAGAGAATACAAGCCAGACCAAACCCTGAAGAGGTATGTCTGCCATTTTAAATGTATTTAAACCCTTTGCTTAAACTATGCCTATATTTTATTTTTATTTATATTTTTCTTTCTGTAATGCCTACTTCTATCTTTCACAGTGTCTGTATGTTTCTAACACAAATCACTTGAATAGTGTGGGTGAATGGGTCACAATAAACCTGGTTGATTGCTAATTACTGCTATTCTTGTGTATCATGCATGATTAATCAAGGTAGCAATCTAATGGTACGTCTGTAGTTTCTGCCTGCCTTAAGCACCCTGAAAGAGTTGCAGCTGAGCCTGTACCTCAGCTTACACCACTAACGTCTGCCATGGTCTCTTCTCACAGGCACTGAGCGATTTTCTAAAGAGACAGAAAACAGGCAGATTTGCAACTGCAGAAGAAGTAGCCCAACTCTGTGTTTATCTGGCTTCAGATGAAGTAAGTACTATTCTTCCCAGGTAGTTCATTATTCTGAATCACATTTGGTCACAGTTTGCCCAGTCATCTGTAATGTATGGAAAGAAAGAAGGAAAGGGAGTAGGTGGGAGAAAAGAGGTGAGCCACCCATCATTAGCTCCTCTCTACAGTGACTTGGTGCATACGAGGTGGCTGGTGAGTGTGACAGAGTGGAGTTCTTTTAGTGACAAAGCAATTATGACTTCTCAGAACTATAAAACAACAACACTAAATAGTTGTGAAAATTGCTGGACAAATTATTAATGAAGCAGGAATAGTGGATTTTGTAATTTCTCTGTCTTCATATCTTCAGAAGAGCTCATTTGTATTTTGTTGAGCTCATCCAGTCTTTGGCTACTTCTCATAAGCAAAGTTACCCTTGTTAAGCCAAAGCTAAAGTTATAAAATATTTGCAAATGTTCAGCTTGAAATATGCAAGAAATGGACCTTTGGCCTTCTTAAAGATGCCCGAGCATGCCCATATAGATCATAGAGAATTTCCCCCTTAAAATCATTTGAAAGGATTAGGGATTAGGGATTTCCTTTTTTAGTGATGTGACTAATAATCCTTTGGGTTTTCTATGTTATATGCTTAGTTTTTGTATATTGAACTTTTAATAATCTGAACCCGTAATGCTCTTTTTTGCTGTTTCTCCCATTGTTGCTGGCTTTAGATGAATTTAAAACAAAGGGCACAAAGTTAAATCTGTATTATCTGTGCTGAAATTAAGGGATTTTTAAGCTTCTATGATTTAAAGATTTCAGATTTAGTTTTAGGGGAAATAATAGTAATCATTCTTATAATCATTGAGGATTGTATGTTTGGACCTAAAACAGACTAATTTTCATAGCCTAACCAATTATTATGACACATTTAAATGGAAACAGACATTTAGTTTACTTCCACTCTTAGGATTCTCTACATAGATTGATCACCTAAAGATAGATCTTTTTTAAAAATTCTGTTTAGTAATTGCGATGACCAGTTTAGGACTGATATATGATGAAAATTTATTAGTGGCATAAAATTCATCTAGTTTTGAGTTTCAAAATGAAAATGTGCTATTTTAAGCCTATAGTTTATCCTCACTATAGGTATAAATTAGACTAGCTATAAATCACTATTTCTTAATTTCTGATACTTTAAAAAAATTTTAATTATTATTTAAATGAAAGTCTACAGAAAAGTTGGATTTTTATTCATTCATTGTTGCACATTTTTAATTTTTGATTCTTGAGACCAAACATTCTTGCTTAGAATATAACATGGGCTTAGATCCCAGAAGAGGCCCTCTAGCTTGTTCCAGATCACAAGAACACTTAGCAGCTCTAAACATGAGAACTTTAAATCAGACTTACCCATACTATATTTGTTAAGTAATGTGATGTATTAAAAGGAGAGTAAATTGTTTAGGTATCCCTGTAATAGAAATACATAAGAAACATGGCCTATGTTAATCTACCTAATGATTCCTCCTTGTGTTTTACACTTCAGTCAGCCTATATAACAGGTAACCCTGTCATCATTGATGGAGGCTGGAGCTTGTGATTGGAGGATCTCCTCGCAGAAAAGGAAAGCAGCCCCTTTCTACACACTATGAGCCTGGATTCAAAGAAGACTCAATAATTATATATTTTCCATGAATGGCTTAACAATGAATACAAGCCCTTTTAATGGTATCTTTGTTCCCCTGAGTCTGATTCTTGAAATATATTCATCTAATCACTACAAAATCCTTAGTTGTTGATTGTCGTCAAGTCAAGCATGGCTTATAGCGACCCTATGACCAAAAGGCCTGTAGCCTTTCTATAACTATTGTCATTTCTCAAAGTTCAGAGAGTTTCTAGAAACATGTTGTCAACAACAACAATCACTCCAAAACACTATAGGAAGTTAAAATTAGATACTGAACTCACTGCAAGTGAACAGTTTTCAAAACAAATCTCAGCTTATAAACAAATACATTTAAAGTATGAATTTGAAGGAAAAGGACTTTTAAAAGGTAGGAATTTCTATTTCTGTTTTCCTATATTGAAATATTTTGTATAATCTGTAGTTGGTCCATATATGGAGCCTAATTTAAAACATTATATATAATCATAGGTGAATACCAAAGGTTTGTCTTAAATAACTTACAGTAATTGGAGTACAGTAATTGGAGTTTAGATTTAGAAATTATTGTTGATTTATTATGTAAAAGAAGTAATCAAGTATACTTAATGATAAATATTATAACTTATGAGAAGGCATGTGGCATCGGGACTGAAGGAGGACTCATCAGTAACCTGTGTCATGCAGATGACACAACCTTGCTTGCTGAAACTGAAGAGGACATGAGGCGTTTGCTGCAGAAGGTCAAGGACCTTCTTTAGTCTTCATTATGGATTGAAGTTCAACAACAAGAAAACAAAGATTCTCACCACTGGGCCAATTAGCAGCTTCATGATGGACATAGAAGAGACTGAGATTGTTGATAACTTCAGCTTGCTTGATTCCACAATCAACATTTTTGGCACCAGCAGTCAGGAAATCAAAAGATGAATTGCAGTGGGAAAATCTGCTGCTGGGGACCTCTCTAGAGTACTGAAGAGTGACGATGTCAGTCTGGAAACTAATATGTGCCTGACCCAGGCCATGGTCTTTGCAGTTACTTGCTGTACTGCTGAGAGCTGGACAATAAGTAAGGATGATAGAAGAAGGATTGATGCCTTTGAATTGTGATACTGGAGAAGCATGTTGAACATACTATGGACTGCCAAGGAGAACAAACAGGTCTGTCCTGGAGAAGGTGAAACCAGGCTGTTCCCTAGAGGCAAGGATGTTGAGGCTCCACCTCACATACTTTGGGCACGTGGCCAGGAGGGACTAGTCCTTGGAGAGCATGCTTGAAAGGCAGAGGATCAGCAAAGGAAAGGAAGACCCAGGATATGATAGATTAACTCAGTGACTGTAGAAATGGAATTAGGTCTGTCAGAGACGATGAGATTGGCTCAAGATAGGGCAGGTTTCAGAGCTAATGTACCATAGGGTCACTATGAGTCGCAGGTCACTTGAGAAAACATTACAACAACATAATTAAGTACCATATTCTTAATCTAATGAAACAATTCCTATAGAATAAAATAATGTTGTTTGAATGGGTCTAACAAATACATACTTAACTAGCAGCATTCTCAGTTTGAGAGCTGCTTTATGATTAGATATAGATCTCTTCACCAAATCTTATAATAATAGAAAAAGTGTTTGCAAATAGTCTGAATAAATAAATAAAAATTATATATCAAGAAAGAAACATTTTTATAATTACACATTTAAAGTAAAAATTTTCAGAAAATGCCTAAGTAAATTCAGGAAAGATCTTTCTGTAATAGACTGCTAGGAAGAAATATTTTCTCTTTTCTTAGTTTTATTATTTTACGTTTTGTTTTGGATTTTTTTTTTTCCATCTCGAAGGACCATCTAAGATGCCCATATACTCAATAAATGAAAAGCTATTCTTCTTAGTGTTTTCTTTTAGAACATTAATCAATATTTTTAACTCATTACTGTCAAGTTTATTCCACTTCTTTTGACCACCAGGTTTCCGAAGCTTTTATAAATCTTAGCCAAGAAAATTGCCTATCTTTTTCTTACAGTGATTGGTAGATTTGAACCATTAACCATTTATTTTTTAGCAGTACAGCAAGTAATACACTATGCCATAGGGAGTGAATTAAAGGGATCAAAAAACTACATGGAAATGAAAAATGAAGAAACAATGAAATTTTACTCTGCAATTGATGGTGATTTAAACTTCACAGCAAAGTATAGTTAAAAATTTCAGAAGAGTGCATGGAGTTAAAATTTACTTTAGTGTTCTCATCAAGATCAAGGATAGCTTGCATTTGGACATAAGCCAAATTAGCCAACTTCTGGTCTTTAGTTATCTAGTTTTTTAAATTATGCATTGCACTAAATGATTTGGACTTCTTTTGGTATATTGTAAATAAAAATACTAATTCTTTATACATAGCCCTATTTATCAGAGCATCATTTACAATAAAACAGAGTTGGAAAGAACCCAAGTGTCCATGAAAGGACGAATGGCTAAAAAACTATGGGGCATTCACACAGTGGAGTATTATGCAGCAGTAAAAAGTGAGCTCTGGTAGTATAGTCCTTAAAGAGTCACACTGGTAACCCAAAGGCAGTTCCACCAGTGACTGTGCAGGAGAAAAATGGACAGACTCCTCTTCCTATGCTATTTACATATGCCTCACAACACCTGCTGTGGATCAGCTCAAACAGTTCCACCCGAAGCCAAATGAGTTCTTTTGAGTGAGGAAAAATGACCAAGAACCCATGAAATGCTACACAACAAGGTTTAATTTAGAACATATTGAGTGAAATAAGTAGTAACAAAAGGCCATTATAGTATAAGACTACAAATAAAAGAAGTATGCACTTTAGAGGTATACAGGAATGGGAATGAAGGGAGATGGGAGTAAAATTTAATAAATAGATGATTTGTCTGAAGGGAAAGTCTTCCCACAATAAGCTGATTAGACATTATAATTGATTAATCAATGGCAATAAATGTTGCAGGACAAAGTGCAAATATATGAAAAACCGGTATTATTTGTAAATCTTCACTCAAATAAAAAATAAACTTTAAAATAAACCAAAATATTGTTAACTTCTTTTTTTTATTTTTTTTTTAACTTCTTACTAAGTGAATTTATGGAAGCTATGGGAATGTTGCCAAGAGTGACTAGTCCTTGGAGAAGAACATCATGCTTAGAAGCGTAAAGACAACACAGGAGAGGAAGACTCTGGATGAAATGGACTGATACAGTGACTGGGGCAATAAGGTCCGTGTGTTGGAGGCAGTAAGATGGCTCAGGATGGCTCAGGGTTCAGAGCTATAGGGTCTCTGTGAATGTGGCACATAACAACATATGTCATGATGAAGTGCTTCGTACTGTGAGCAGGAGTACACATATATGTAGAGGAATACCCAGATCCTAAACAAACCCAAGAGGAATTTATACAACAGAACTTCTATACAATGCTCTCTCAGAAACTATTAATATAAACAATGGAACATTCTAAAACTCTAACATTCAGCCAAAAGGTCTGATTTTTCTCCCAAGTCATGTTGATCAAATTGTATGTTGTAGCCTCAAAGATCATATAACTAATAGAAAAGGAAAAATAGAGATCATTTCTGTGGCAAGAGGAAGTAAGATGATATGCACGGTTTTTGCAAATTTCGAGACAAAGTTCCATTTAGGAAAAGAATTTTAGACTCCCTGAAGGTCATGTAGGAAAAACCAAGGCCTGTACATTCTTCTCCACAAGAGAGGAACTGACAGTAGAAGTAGTGAGTGGCTTCACCTAATGAAGAAATGGGAGTTTGATCTTAGAGTGGTCCTTAAAAATGAACCAATACTACTTGCTTAAAGGCGTGAAAAACAGATAAGAAAACTTTCATTTCTGATATATAAATCAACTTGAAGGGTCGCTTTTAACTTTCGTCTAAAAAATCCTGTTCCACTGCTCCTGAGAAGACACTTCTAAAAGATGGAGTGGGAAAAAATACAAGATTTAGAAGTTGGTTTGTGGTTAGGTGCCCAGGCATGAGTTCAGACTCACAGTAACTGCATGTAATAGAGAAAACTCAATAGGGGTGTTTTGCTGTTATCTTTACAGACGATTCAAAGGTCTTTTCCCCCGCAGAGCCACTAGTAGAGCTAACATCAGACCTCTAAATTAGCAGCCAGCGTTTGGCCAGTGTGCTATCATGGCTCTGAGAGGTTTATTTCGACCACGGTAAACTAAGCTACTGGCTGCCCTGTCTACACTTTGCTGGCTTCCAAAGAGTCAGGTGCTGTACGCTTTATTGCCCAGCGTTTCTCCAGTACTTGGCGCCTGGGCCTGCGCTCTCCGGGCAACTTATACTCTGAGCTACCCGCGGGAACGCGCTCTTCCTGGCATCAGGGACTGGCGAAACCCATGTGAGGTCTAGGGAAGTGGGCTCCTTCATTGATTGAGTCTGGTGAGTTGGATGCGAAGGCGGCCTAGCACCACAGCCCAGGAGAAGGCAGCACGGTGGGGCGCTTGGAAACAGTGCTCCGCCACATCGCGCACGACCCTGACACCATGCCACTTGATCTGAATCCGAGCGGAGAGCGCGCGGGACGGTCACCCCGAGATGAGATGAGATTGCTGGGGGTAGCTCCCCAGACAGCCTCCCGCGCCCGCTGGCTCCCGCCTCCCGCGAAGAAGGCGGGGCTCCTGAGGGCCGGCCCCGCGCCTACCCGAGCCATGTGATGATAGGAGTAATCCCGGCCCCGCCTGCGACGATGCGCCCACCCGGGAGCCCAACGTGGAGCGGTCCCCTCCCATCTCCCGGGCAGGCTTCATTTCTCTTGTCTCAAAATCAGTCGAGCCAAGCTGGGTACTCAACGCAGGAGACTGTGCGGTGAGTGGCTGCGGAGAACACGAAGCTAATAAACCCAGGGGTGATGGCGGGGACCTCTTAAAACGAGCGGGGCCTGGGAGCTGGG